TACATGGATAATAAAATGCTAACAACAACAACGTACACTAACAGCATAACACCAAAACACAAAAATAATGAAAATACAAACAACTTTTTGTCCGCAAGCAATAGCGTTCAGTTTATAGCACACAATTTTTACGGATGTCAAAACTGATCGAATGGGCAGTCACTACATTTATTCATTTTTGATGATGGCACTCAATGATTCTTATCACTTGATTATATGCTATGACTTATGAGTCTTTTGCATACTATTCTACTAAGAAACTTGTACGTAATTTTATGACGCTAATTCAGAAGCACTGGCACTCGTTATCGAAAATACTTATGAATTTTGTGATGAGTATAAATGCGTACAAGTGACATATGAGAAAAAGATTCATACATATTTATATTTGGTTTTCAAGTGTACTCCCCACTATCCCTGCGGTAAGCACATGAAAAATTAATGCCTGACATCGTGTTTACAAAAGAAGAAAGAAGTCATGATATTAATAGAATGTACTGGTAATGCATCATGTTATGCGGCTAGCGAAAAAAAACCCTTACTCTTCGTGAAATTAACCGGACGACAGATATTTTTTGTCATATTTGGTTTTGTTGTATTCGTTTCTATAAAATTACTCAACCATGCTTAGTTATTGCATGCATTTAAGTGCGAGCCGTCTAGTTTTTCGATGCGCATTGCAATATAACTTTTTTCAACTATTGTTAAATTTGTTAAAATAATATTTTAATTATTGTTTTTCCTTCGGTTTTCCATTCGGCATTCTAGTGTTAGTTAAAAATTAAATTGAAAAACTATACTTTATACACTTTATTTATTATTTCTCTGTTTCAGTCTGCAGTTCAGCTGCTGCTTCCAGTTTATTTATTTATTTATTATTTTAACAATAATTATTATTATTTAATTATTTATTTATGTTTTAATTTAAGTTATTAGTTATTATTTTTCATTCCGTTTTTGGTTTTTTTTTCAATTGTGCTTTATAAATAAATTATAATAAAAAACATTTTTGAAACAATATTATATTTTTATTAATTTTTGTTGCCTTTTTATATTAAATTTATATTTAGTTTATTAAATCTATAATATATTAATAATAATTCAATTTTTGTCATTTTTATTTATTTTTTTAATAAATTGAAACAAAAAAAATTTTGATTTTTTATTTTTTTTTATAAAAATTTATTTTAGATTAAATAAATATAAAATGCAAAAGCATGCATTCAAAACAGTAATAGCCTTACAAGCTACTGATATCGTAAGCTACAGAAGAAGGTGGCCTTCTTTTAGAAGCAGGTCGTAAGGCAGAAAATGATCAGCCTTATATATTTCGTGCATAAGAATCGCTCATGAATATTAGTTTATGTTGTCGTGCTTACTGTTATATATTATATTATATTATTATGTATAAATAATTTGTTTGTATTATTTTGTATGAATAATTTGTTGTAATAATTTCATTTCAAATATATTTTGTTGTAAAAAATAATTTTGTCAATGCAATGCCCAAAAAACATACGTCATACGCTTTGTTTGCTCATGAAAACAAAAACGTCAAATTTCGTCTGCAAGAAAATGCATTCTTGCAGTTCGTAACAAGTTCATTCTTTGGCATGCATGGTCAAGGTTATTTTAGTTAATTTATTTGTTGTAAATTGATTATTAATTTTAAATAAAAGGCACAATTGAATTTTTGACAATTCAATTGATGCGAAGCCACATTCGTTATTAATTCATTGCTTTATTCTATTAGCTTTGTAAATTTAGTTCAAGTGTTAAATTTACGTCACATAAGCGCCTATTCACTGGATTTAAGTGTTCAGTGACTAGGATAATCAGGACAATCGTCGAAATCTCTGGGTTCAAGTACTCAGTGGTAGTAGTAGTAGTAGTAGCTTTATTTTTTACTTCATTTTAAAGTTATTATATTACATCGAAGTTATATAATAATTATAATAGATATAATTATAATAAATATACATAAAGCTTACAGCTATGGCATTTTAGCCGTCTGCCGGAAGTTTAGATTAATCTAATAGCTAATTAACTAATAACTAATTAATCCAATTTTTATAAATATTAAAAAGATATTCTTACTTATGATCTCAATACAACGTAAAAGTTAAATTAAATTACTTTAACAAAATAATATATTTTATATAAGTTAATTTAAAAATCTTCATTAATAATATTTTGCCTATATTTAGTTGTAGTTTTAATAAACGCCGTTAACAATCTCCAGTTGGGGCCATTCAGTAACCGTATAGTTTCATTGACATCGAGCTCGGGTTTACCGAAGTACAGCAATCTATGTTCTTTAAAAATTGGGCATTCGCCTACTAAGTGTATAACATCGCCTTTCAATTTAAGGTTGCATATCGTGCACAGCGTGTCTAGACTTTCATGCGGTACGTAGCACAATCGTAGAAGCTCGCCGCGGGTTTTGAAGATTGTCCTTATTGTTTCTAGGTCATATTGCTCGTGAAAATAATTATTGACACCTAGATCATAATTCAACTTACTATATGCATCTCTCGATATACTGTTTCTTGCCGTTTCTACAAAATTTCTACGTTCTTCAATACTTAGTTTCGTTATTATATTTTTTTGCCACATTTTCCAGTTTTCATTAATACTCAAATCATTAGTTATATTTAACTCGGATGCCAGATTTGACCATTTTTCAAAAAATAATGTTTTTTCATTTATTAGGTACTGCGCTAATGTTTTTTGAATCCTATTATCTGGCAAATTCCTAACACCATTGATGTAATCAAAGTGCAATTTTAATGTTTGGGTATATAGCGTCGGTAGACCAGTTTCTAAATGCACCATATAATTTGGGGTATTTTTCGGCAAACGAAACGTTCTCTTTATATAAAATGTCTGCAATTTTTCTACTGCGTCATATTTATCAACACCCCAGATTTGCGCTGCATAATTTAGAACTGACTTAACTGTGGCTTCAAAAACTTTGTATTTTACGGGCAGTGAGACTTTCGGATTTCCTAAGACATTTATCCAGGTACAATTAATAGCCAATTTAGCTTCCTTTAACTTCTCGTTCAAGTGGTTATCGAATTTTGCGTTATATTTCATATTTATTCCTAAATATTTATAATTATTAACCACTTCTAATTGATCATCGTTAAGGTACCATTTTTCATCATTTCTCAATCTTCTAGCATGTTTCCTAAATACCATCACTTTTGATTTGTCTGTATTTATAGATAGTCCCCATAAGTTGCAATATCTATTTAATTCATCTATCATATTTTGTAACATTATTGGAGAATCTGCAAACAACACAATATCATCAGCATATAATACTACTTTTAGGCACATATTGGCAATCGTAACACCACCAGAAAGAAATTTATTTAAGTCATCAACGAACAGTGCAAACAATATAGGGCTTAAGACACAACCTTGTCTCACTCCGGTACAGGTTTGGAACCATCTCGATGTACTTCTTCCGTCCCATACTGTTGACTCATTGTTGCAGTATAGACTTTGCAGTATTTTCAAAATTTTTGTTGAAAGACCCAGCTGGCTTAGTTTGTAAAACAGTACGTTTCTTTGTATTGTATCGAAAGCAGCTTTAAGATCTACGTAAAAAACATATAACTTCTTGCTTTTTGCAATAAACTCTTGCGCTACACTAGTGATGACGAAAATATTATCTACCGTGGAGTAACCTTTTCGAAATCCAGCTTGAAATTCGCTTAATATGTTGTTTTGATCAACCCAATTTTTAATTCTGTTATACAGGAGTGTTGTGAAGACTTTAGCTGATGTATTAAGAAATGCTATTCCTCTATAATTTGCTACAATATTTGGGTCACCTTTTTTAAATAGGGGAAATGTTATGGCTTTTTTGTAACTATCAGGTGGAGCTGCATTTTCAAATATATAATTGTACGATTCAGCCATATGCTCTATAAATTGTGGCGTGGCATATTTTAAAAACTCAGCTGGAATTCTGTTTTCACCTGCGGCTTTGTTATTTTTTAAATTCTGGAGCACTGCATAGACTTCTTCAATCTTTATTGGAGCATCTAACGCTTCATTTATTACATACGGCAGGGCATAACTGAAAGACTTGCTTACTATATTGCTATTTAACTGGTTTTTAAAATGTGCCGCCAAAGCTTCGGCGTCCACTTTAATTCCTTTTATGTGATCTGCACGATTTATTTTTTTAACTCCACTCCAAAATGATTTACTATCAGCTGCTTGGGATATCGACATTGCCATTTCATTGAAATATGACTTCCTTTTCTCATCACACAGCTTTTTGTATTCTCTGTTTACATTTTTGTATTTCTCTAAATCAGCTATATCACCACCTTTTTTAACTGCTTTTAGCCATTTAAATGATTTCTTTCTTGCAGTTTCACATTCAAAATCATACCATTTTTGTTTCCTATTTATACCCGCCGAATTACCCTGAAACGATTTTGCTGCTTGTTTTACACAATATTGAAGAATGTCATCTCCTTCCTTCGACGCAAATGTACTACCTTCGCATGCATTAAGGGATTCTTCAAGCTTTTCTTGGTACAGATCTTTATATTTATCTTTCCATATCAGTTTCGGTAGCAACTGCATTTTATTTTCATTTGAATTAGAGGCATCTAGATTTACCATAATTTCCAGTGGCTGATGATCCGAGTATATCATGTCACGTATTTGAAACTCTTCAGTTATTATTACTCAGTGGTTTTCTTGTTTAAATAGAATCAACATAAGTACTGGATTCAAGTGTTCA